GGGGGCTGACTCAAGATTCCGTCCTCAGCGAAAGCGCCGCCCTCCCGCCAGGGGGAATCTTCGGCCGGCGACGATGAGGCTTCGCTAGAAGCCGACCGTTCGACGAGGGCCGGGGTTCCGTCCGGGCCCTTCCCCTCGGGGGAGCGGCGCGATGGCCGAGGGCATCCTCCTCCTAACAGGATCCAGCTCCGACGGAGAAGCCTCGGGGGTCTGTTCCAGGGCGCGCCGCCGGCGCCAGCTCAGAAGAAAGCGGAGGCGGTGCTGCCTGCAGGCAGCCTCGGTGAGTGTCGCGCGGGCCTTGCCAGGAAGAAAGATGGAGGCGCTTCCGCTCTCTGCCGGGTGGCTCCCCCTCAGCGGCGGGTCGGCGCGGACCCCTTGAGCTGCCGGGGGGCTCCGAGGCTTGCTGGGCCGGGCGGGTGTGGCTTCAGCGGCGGGTCTGGCCGGGGAGGCTGTCCCCGCTTCCCCTCCAGCGGCGCCTGGCTCGAATTCGCGCTGAGCGGGCGCCAAGCGATGCTGGGAAGGCTCGGACGAGTTCGGTCTTGGGGAATGCCCGTGCTCTGCGCTCCAGGCGCTGGCAAACTTGTCGGCACTTGTCTGGCTCCAGGGGGTTTGGGAAGTACTCTAGTAGTCGTGCTTGGGAGCGAGGTTCCCACGACGAGCCGCTGAAGAGGCTCGTTTGCAAGGTCTGAGTGAACAGAATCGGGCTTGCTAGACGGTAGGAAAACCCGTTTTGACAGGAAATCTTCTGCCGGGTAGTGGTGGTGGTGGGGAGATGCCAATAGATGTGTCTCTGTCTATCCCACAACAAAGAGCTAAGCTTTCTTTAACACAGCGTCAAGGTATCTCCTTTCATACAAACGCGGGAAGGTCTGAAGAACTTATGGAGATGGGATCTCTCAGTACAAACTGTGCTAGTTTCCTTCTTGGAACACTGCCACACTTTCCTGATGTTTGAGCTGGTCGTTCTAGCGATTACATTTTTATCAGAGGATAGGATGGCGCACCTGATTTCTCCCTCCTTCCACTTCCTCCTCACTGCAGTCTTGTGAGGTGGGTTTGTCAGACAGAAAATGACAGGTCCAAGGCCACCCAGTAGCTTTGTGGGGGGACGACAAACCTGGGTTTGCTGGCTTTTAGTCTGACTCGCTGACCATGGTTCCCATACTAGCTCTCCTCTTGTTGGGGATCTGAATCTAGCTCTCCCCTTGCTGATGGCAGTTGCTCTTCTGTGCAGCCATTGCCCAGAGCTGGAACTGCTTCAGGGCAGTGCCAATGCAGATAAGGGAAAATGAAATCCGACTGGAACCGGTGGCCACAGTTGGCAGCCATGGAAGCAAAGTGATAAAAAGAGAGTGAATTGGTGTTTAAATTGAGGGGTGCCAAAAATGGTTCAATGCAAAAGCTAAAAATAAGGGTACTGGGCTTCCATGCAGGAACAGGGTTTAAAACAGAATAGATGGGACGCTGTGGAATGATGTTGGAGAGGAATGCCCCAAGAAGAAATGGCAGCCCCAGGGTTGCATAGTAGTTTCTATATGAATGACAATGAAATGTGCAGAATTAGAACAGAATGAAATTTCCCCACGGTGAAATGCCGTGCAATAATTGCCTGTGCAGTATGGCATCATAGTGCCAGTCTTGACAACAGAATGAGTTCACTAGACTGAATCCTAGGTGGAACAAAACTACTGTGCCAAGAGGAAAATGTTCGTAATTCTGCAGTGGAAGCCTTTATTTTGCTAACAATTTCTGGGAACAGTTATGGTACTAATATTTTGCTCTGCCACTTGTTCACAGCCATTTTATGTGGACAGCAGAGAATATACTCCAAAAGTAATCATTTGCTCAGCATCTCTCTGTTCTTACATTTCCTCCAGAAACTGCCATCTCCTGATGGAAGTTTTCTCATTCCAGTTTTCAATCTTAGTTCTTTGTTTCCAGTTGTTTCTTTATAAAATTACTAAAGCTAGTATCACTTAGACAAATTGTTAAAATCTTTTGTTATATTTCCTGACATAAGTCAAATTCTATATAGTTCAAGTTTGAGTCTCTCCAAATTTATATTATACACTAGCAGTAAAGCCCGTTGTGAAAGCAATACAACGAGATCTAGAAAGAGGCTCTGGGGGAGTGCTCTGGCTTTGGGCAAAAAGTGTCAATTTGCTGTGGTGACCTCAGCAGGGTATAATGACAGAGTCCACTGTTTTCTCCAGAGGAACTGATCTCTGCTACCTGAAGAGCAGTTGTAATTGTGAGTGATCTGTAGCCCTCACCTGGAGATTGGCAGCAATTGTTACCCAGGACAAAGTGGCTGGTTTGGAGGGTGTAGTCTATGGCATTCTACCTGTCTGAGGTCCCACCCCTCTGCAAACCCCACCCTCTCCAGGCTCCACCCCTCAAATCCCCAGGAATTTGTCAGCATGTAGTTGGCAACCCCATCTCCTTCCCAGCTAACCATCAACCTACCATTATCTGCCCCTTTGACTTCAGCTGACTTCTGCCCTCCCTTCTGCAGAGCAGTTGTAATTCTGAGTGCTCTCCAGCCCTCACCTGGAGATTGGCAACAATGGTTCCCTATGTGGGACTGACTGGTTTGGAGGGTGGAGTCTATGGCAGTGTACCTGTCTGAGGTCCCACCCCTCCTCAAACCTCACCCTCTTCAGGCTCCATCCCTCAAATCTCCAGGAATTTCCCATCTGGAGTTGGCAACCCTATCAGGACTGGCCCCAATGTGTTTTCTCCCAAAGGCCAAAGTAGGTGACAGGACCAAGCTTAGTTGCCTACCAACAGGCACTGAGGGGAATGTAGGGTTGCCAGCTCTAAGGAGGGAAATACCTGGAGGTTTGGGGGGTGGATTCTGTAGAGGGCAGCATTGGGCGGGGGGGCGAGGCGGAAGGACTCAGCAGGTATAATGTCATAGGGTCTACCCTCCAAAGCATCCATTTTCTCCAGGGGAACTGATCTCTGTCATCTGGAGATCAATTGTAACAGTGGGAGATCTCCAGGTCCCACCTGGAGATTGGCAACCCTAGGGGAAAGTCAGCTGCACAGCAGGGGGTTGAAGAGAATGGTTTGATGGCTGCTGGGCCAAGGGGGGGGGAGGAGTATGAGGTGTGGAATGGAGTGACGTCCAATCAGCTTCCATATGCAAAAGACCTTGAAGGTTCCATATGCAATTGACATTCCAAATGCCTTGCGGGGAGGGGGGTGAGTTTGAGGTGTGGAATGCAGTGAAGTCCAATCAGCTTCCATATGCAAAAGACCTTGAAACACTGGGCGGGACTGCACAAAGCAGCCAGTCAACCCAGCCCGCGTCTTCTGACTGATGGTTCAAGCGTCCATACACTAAAGGAGTGCATTTTAGAACTTTGGCACCCACTATTCAATTATATATAAGGAGAGATATTCATAGTTCTTGGTCTTCAAAGTTTGTTTCTACCCAGTCATAAAATAGTGTCCAGTTGTTTCTTACATTTTGTTTACTTCTGCAACAAACCCTTGAGGTTTATCTTTAGCATATCTAGATTCTAGCTGTACTCTTGTCCACCAATCCAAATGTGTATCTTGTTCCTCTAGTTCTTCTTTGGACTTCAACCTGTCTTTCTTTCCTATTAAATCTTCATATCTAAATACTATTTTCTTCTCCGATAGTCTAGGTTGAGTGAACGCTTCCACTGGAGAGACCCATTTCAGGATTTTCACATACATTTTATGCCTTATTCTTTCCCATACTAACAGCAATGCTTTCCTCACCAAGTGGTTTTCAAAATATTTATGATTATCTGCTTTTTGATACCAAAGGTAGGCATGCCATCCTAGCTTTAAATCATGTCCCTCCAATTTTAATAGTCTCGTATTTTCCATTCTTTGATCCATGTCAGTGCACAAGCATTATAATATGTTCCCCAGTCTGGAAGACCAAAGCCTGCATTCTGCTTAAAGTCCTGTAATGCCTTCAGTTTTTTTCTAGGTTTCTTCCCTTGCCATATAAATTTCATTGTTCTTTTGTTCAATTGCTGGAAGTATGATTGTTTCAATAATATTGGAATAGTTTGAAAAAGAAAAATAAATTTAGGAAGTATGTTCATTTTGATTGCAGCTATTCTTCCCATAAATGACAACTGTAAGTTATTCTATTTTTCCAAATCTTTTTGGATTTCTTTAAGTAGTTTCATGTAATTATCTTCCATCAGAGAACTACATTTATTTGTCAAGGTAATACCTAAATATTTCACTTTAGTTTCTAATTGCAATCCTGTTTTCTCAACCAGCTCTTTTGTTATAGATTGTGTTATATCCTTTGTAATAATCCTTGTCTTTTGTCTGTTCACTTTCATTCCTGCCATCTCTCCAAATTCCATTAATTAAAAAAAAAAGTTCTTCATCAGGCTGTTTATAAAAGTGCTGGCATCTTCTAAGATAAAAGCTAAATCGTTCACAAAGGCTTATACTGTATATTCTTCTTCACGTATTCTTGTTCCTCTGATATTTTTTATCTTCTCTGATCAAGTTATTTAATACTTCCAAAGTGAGAATAAATATTAACAGGGATAACGGACATCCTTGTCTCGTTCCCTTCTCAATTATGATTTTATTTGTTCTTTGAGTGGGGTCTTCTACTTTTGTTTTTCTTTTTTTAAATAATTTTTAATTGTTTTTATACACTACACAATTACAGGAAAGGGGAATGGATCACTAAGACTAAAAAAAAAGCGAAACTAAGGCAAGGATCATATTTCAAAAGTTACAGTCTTGTCTGTCGTTCTTACAAAACCTTACAGTAAAATATAAGCTCTGTGATCAATGTCTTAATTCCTTAATAAAGCTGACTTGAGCCATTAACGCTAATCTACAGGTAGTTTATACTCCATTATGTTTTGTTCTTCTTGTTTATTTTTCATGTTTACTTCTCTTGTTTTTCAGTTGAACTTTAAGTAATTTAGGGGCAGTCTCTCCTTTTTCCAAGTCCGAAACCTCAGAGGTACTACCAGAACTGCTTGAGGTGTCTTCTGATTCACATTCGCTTTTCTCTTCTTGGATACTGTCCTTATTTTTCCTTTCATTTTTCATCGGACGTTGTTGTTGTTCAAAAAAGTCTTTAGCTTTCTGGGCAGAGTCAATCCTGATCTTCTATAATTAAAAAGAAGTCCTTCTGGGAATATCCATCTGTAGGGGGTTGAGTTATTTTGTAAGAAGGAAGTTAAGTCTTTGTATTGTCATCTTCGTTTTCATACCTCAAATGGAATATCTTTTAAGGTTCTTGTTTCTTGGTCTTTCACT